TGTGTGTTCTTGAAGGTCAAACGGGAGAAACAGGTTTAGGGTCAATTTTTCCTGACTCTCCCATTTGACCCTTAATAAACTTTGATTCTTCTGATCACTTCGTTCGTATCTACCATTTGTCGCTTTAACAATTCCCGCTCATAAAAAAGTGTGTGCTCTTTAAGGTCAAATAGTCTTAAGGGTCAAATGGGAGAGTCAGGCAAAATTAATCCTCAACCTGTCTCTCCTATTTGACCCTCAATAAACTTTGACTTCGTCTGATACCTTCGTTTGTCTCTCCCATTTGAGGCGTTAAAAATTCCTGTTCATAAAAAAGTGTGTGCTCTTTAAAGTCAAATAGTCTTGAAGGCCAAACGGGAGAGACCGCTTGAGGGTCAAATTTTCTTAAGGGTTAAACGGAAGAGACGAAGAGAGTAATCAACAGGGGCAAACGTTTTAAAGGCGTGATCACTTCACTTGTCTCTCCCGTTCCCCCTTCAAAAAACGAAATTCGCTGCATTGAAGTAATCAAATAATATTGAAAATGATGAAAAAAATTAATTTTTGAAAATTTATTCCCCCATTTTCCGCCCCCAAAGTTTTGATGAAGAGCAGATTCACGACAATGGAAACAACGTCGTGGACAAACAATGACAAAACAATTAGGCAACTCATAACTGCCTGACACAGAGGTTCTCTGTACGGCCTGTCTCACTCCTACGGAAACCATCGTCCAGTTAGACAAACTGGACTGGGTGGGAAATTCAGGGGATTGTACCAGGAGTTGCGTCAAAGTGTCACCAGCAACGAGGAGAGCCACCAGACCGAAGTGAAATGCGAGCGTGCATCCGGCATAATAACCCTCATACCTAGACCCCTTTCCGTCCCTTCCTGCTGGGTCCATCCCTTCTCATCATGCGTTACGAAATTATCAAAATTTTACGAATAATTTGGGCGAGAAAAAACAGAGGGAGCGATGAGGCATCCACAGATGTTCGATAGTCTCGAGTGTTCTGCGAATAGCTGGGAAAAAAAATTCCAGGAGAGAATGAAAAGGTGAGAAAGATAAAATGGAGAATTGGAATTTCTAGGAGATGGAAAATTGCAGCGATAACACCTTGTATATTATTCCCGGCACAAGCATGGCCAATCAGGCGACAATGGCTCGTAAATTTCGTACCAATCACGGTGAGAAGACGGTACGTGACCAAAACCCCCACCAAAGATGCCAACGTTTTCAGTCTATTGCTTATGAATTATTAAAGGGGAAGTGCTGGGGAGAAAGTTTGATATTTCTTTTGTTTCTTCCTGGATTTTTTGGAACGGTCTGGACATTTTTAGAAAAATATCATTGTCAAACGTGTACCTTTTCCTAAAATGTAAAGGAATTTCGTTGAAACGTTTTCATGGAAAATTCAGAATTCATATTCAGTTTGTTTAAAAATAGTTTTCCCATTTTCGTAATCCCTTTTCCACCCCATGACCAGTTTCCACAATCCCTCAACCATACCGAACTCTCCGACTGAAATAGCCCTCTAAACTTTTCAAGATAATTCCAGGTTTACGTTTTCGAACTAGAAACTGTTTTGGTAAATTTACACTCATTGCCTCATTCACCTCAACACGAGAGAATTCGTGAAAATTGGGTCTCTAACGTATACATTAACGTGTATTCACGATCTGGGGTATTTTCTCTGTTTCACTTTGCTATGGAAACGAAAGTTACTTCCACGTAATCCCTCGCTACTTAGGAAAGTATCTGAGGACTTGCGAGAACGGAAGAAGGGATCGAAGTTTTAGGGTATGTGGAAATCACTTTCAAGGAGAGATAGAATACAGCTGAGATCTCTCTTGCTGATTTGGAAGCCATAGGAGAACTTGAGAGAAAAGAATTCACATTCACTTAATTTGGATCTTAAGTGAAGGGAGAAAAAGGAAAAATTCAAGAATTTTTTGGGTTGAATGAGGGCCAATCTAAGGTCAAACAATATGGGTCAATGTTGAGGGTCAAATTGACACCCTAGTTGCATCGAGACGGTTTGACCCCCATTTTTTGACCCTTGCATTGACCCATAAAATTTCACTTCAACTCATGTTCACAACGCATCACATTTTTTTCGGCTTAATAATGCTGGTCAAACCGTATGGGTCAATCATAAGGTCAAATTGGGTGAGTCAATATTGAGGGTCAACAATAGGGTCAAGTTGGATCCAGACGGTTTGACCCTCATTTTTTACCCTTGCATTGACCCATCAAATTTCACCTCAACTCCTGTTCACATCGCATCACATTTCTTTCTTTTGGGTTAAAATTGCGGGTCAAACCGTATGGGTCAATCATAAGGTCAAATCGAACGGGTTAACACTGGGGATAAACCATAGGGTCAAACCATATAGATCAATCTTGATGGTTCTATCGCGCGAATTTTATCGCATGGGTCAAACTGAGGGTCAAGTTGACCCTCTAGCTTGACCCAGTTGATTGGACCTTCATCTTCAACCCGTGCATTCACTCACAAAATTTCACCTGAACTTCCATTTCCTTTCCACTACATTTTTTCCGCTCCCATCGTCAACTACATTCTAAAAAGCTCAAATATCGAGGGTTGCTTTTTGTCTGAGTAACGCGACACCTTTTTCCCTTCCCCCACATCTTCACCTTAACTTATGTGGTGTTTGAAATGACCCTCGAGAAAAGCATGTGAGCGATGGAACGGTATAAAGCGACATGGAACCCTTCTTCCCCTATCGACCGAATGAAAAAAAAACCCTACAACACGAGTCGTAAAAAAATCAACAAAAACCCGAAAAAGATAAACGTAAACCACCGAAATGACTCTGGACGTAGCTCAAGCGTTCACGGGGATTGATAACCCAGCAAGGGTTGGACTTTTTTCATCCCCTCTGAGATAAATAAGGCGACTCAAATCGGAGGGGCTGCCTCGAGAGGAGACAAATTTTCCAGACGTACGTCTTTATCTACCCGCGAGGCATTTTTTCCCCTCTTCTATTTATTTGGCAACAGAGGGTTGTCACTAATTACCTTTGCCCAGAGGGTAATTAATCAATTACGGTCGACTGTAACTTTTTGAGGGAAAGATTCTAACAAGTGGAGAATAAAATTCAGATGACTTTTTCATCTTTATGATCTTTTTGCTTCCGAATGGAAGCTTTGTAATCGTGATTTTTTTCGATTTCTTAATTTTGGCTGGAAAGCCGTAATGGAAGGGCTATATAGGAGGAGCGAGTGGAGTGATCGCTTCCCTCCTCTCTGTCGTTTGCTTCTCTTGACCCTCCAGACGTTCAAATTTTATGGAAAATAGTTAAAAGGCGAAGATTTGAGGAATGCCACCATTTTCATCTGGCAACACTGAGTGCATGATTAAATGCTCAAACCATTCCCTCATCCATTCGGCAAACACTTGGCACTTCTTTCGCGAGCAAACGACGAGGTGAATTATCTATTTTGCCCCTGTGCACACCAAAACCAGGATGACATAAATCCATGGTCCTGGGGAAAAGCTAATTTAGGGGGTGAAGTGGGAGGGAGGAGGAAGGGAGGGAGTAAAATGTGGTGGCACACGAAATAAAGCCGTTGGCTCGCTCGTCGATATATCTAGCCGTGTGTATGCACCACTGACTTCCAATGTTTCAACCCTCTCTATCTGCTACTGTTTTCTCCTCCCACTGGGTCCCTCTTCCAGTCGTGACCGCTTATATATCATGCTAATTATTTATACTTCGGTGAGTACCGACGGTACCTCTCGCATTTCTCATGTGCTAACAATCCCTCATCATTCGAATTGAATTGGCGAGGTGAGGGAGTCATTGAGAATTAGTGACGCCGCGAGACATTTCACGAGATATCACGAGACAATACTTTGGAGGGATTGTCTCGGTAAGGTTTTGTCTCGTAAGGTGTCTCGCGGCATCAGTATTGAGAATGTTGGAGTTCATTAGTTATTTTTGTCTAAAATGAAGGGCTTTTGACATGATTTTTTTTTTCATGTTCATTGAGACTAAGATCATCTCTCCAAAGCTTTGTCTCGTAAGGTGTCTCGCGGCATCAGTATTGAGAATGTTGGAGTTCATTATTTATTTTTGTCTAAAATGAAGGGCTTTTGACATGATTTTTTTTTTCATGTTCATTGAGACGAAGATCATCTCTCCAAAGCTTTGTCTCGTAAGGTGTCTCGCGGCCTCAGTATTGAGAATGTTGGAATTCATTATTTATTTTTGTCTAAAATGAAGGGGTTTTTTCGGAGACGGGGGAAAAGTAGACATCCGGATGTCAAGGGGGTAGAAGTTGTTGATTCTCTATACCATTAAGAGGATCGTATTTCCCGGAAGTCGGAGATCACAAGGCAAAGCATTAGGCTAGAGTTTTCCTCCTCTTTTTTGTAATATTTTTCTTATTTTTCCTCGCCATTCACCAGCTTCCGCGGGAAAAAATAGAGAAAAATGGGACGGGGCGGGGCGGTGGTAAGACGCTTCCGAGTCCTTTCAGTGTTTATTCAACGTCGATGAGATTCTCGGTGAAAAAAAAATGTGTATCTTTAGAGGAGAAATTTTTAGTCATGAAAATGGGAGCATTAATTGATGAAAATTTTTAATCTCTTAGAAGACCAGAAAAACAGAGAAAATGGGAGGGAAAAAATTGTTTCTCCATTCCCTGGGAATGAGAGAGATGACATTTAGAGACATGGAGGAAGGAAAATAGGGGAAAAAGTGGAGAATAAGTCAGACAGTTTGTATTTCAAATTTAAAAGCATTCGACAATGGACGATTCTAGTTGCTCCCTCTCTCTCACTCTCTGTGTATTGTTGACTCTCGAGACTTTTCAGTATAAGGAAAGTTTTTGAACGACGACAGAGTAGTATTTTGTAAGGGACTCCCGGGGTAATTTCCGGGGATGCTCGCGGTGACTCCACGAAAAGTAGAAAAAAAGGGATGGGAATCTATAACAGTGGGAGCTTTAATTCTTGGATTTTTTTTTATCGCGTGGGCAGTTGGGTACTCACTTTTTTGCCGTCTAGCTCGTGATTACCCTGGGCCAGCACTTTGTCGACACTCGATGGATCTGCAAACGTTATGAAACCAAAACCCCTGAAACAGAAAATTTATTAAAATTATTAGACATTTTTTGCATTGTGAAATGTTTTATTATTCGCGTTGAATGGAAGTTTCTCTGGGAGAACTTCGAATCGGAATTGCTTTCCTCATTATTTCAATCAAATTGAGGATATATTTACTGCGAGATAAGTTGTAGTAATAAAAATGGAAAAAGAATTTTTAGTTGTCCAGCAAATCGCGTGCTGAGTGTCCACACTCCAAGTACCACCTAGATAAATTTTATGTCGTAAATTTCCTCGCAGCAGCACAAGTGTATACAGTAATATCAAAGGAAAGTTTCATTTTTTTTTTAGCGAGAAAGTCAGAGTGAAAGATAGGAAAGAGGAGAGAGTAGAATGTTGGGGGATAGCCTCGGAAGAACCGGACGCGAAGCATTTTGCATTTTTCATGCCCCGTGGCCTGCCACGCCAGTTATTGAAAATATTTACATGTTATTTATGGGGCACACATGCTCCCCGAGTAACGAAACGCGCCAATATTCCATGCCAGCGTCCGTTCCAACCCCCTTCGCGGACTACTCTACATTATATTCTCCTTTTTTCAACGCGGATTATTTTTTCTCGATCCTTTCATGAGTGGTTTGTGCTGCTAAACTATCCAGAAAAATCTGGAAAAATTCGGGGAGTTGCGGAAATAGCTCAAGGTCGTGTGGGATTTTTTTTAGATTTTTCCGGAATTTTCCTCTCATGAAGAAAAATTATACTCTGATGATTAGAACATTTCAAAGAAAATAGCGGAGATAAAACAAGAGTCACAATGGTCCTAATTGTCAGTTTATATCCTTCTAAAAAAATTGAAAAATTCGGGGAGTTGCAGAAATAGTTAAAGACCATCTGTGATTTTTTTCAGATTTTTCCGGAATGTCCCATTCATTAAAAAAAATATCCTTTGACAATTGGAATATTTCAATCGAAAAATTTAAAGTGAACGTTCCTCTCAGTAGTTGACTTTCTCATTGGAATAATTAATTTTCAATTATTCGAATGGAAAACCACCCAGAATTCTCCGAAATTTCATCCACCAAATCAATTAATTCAAACACAACTCGACACCCTCCGCAATATAAATTAAACAATCACCCCTATCTGATGTATTTGGGAATGTTCATGTGTACACTGGGATCATTTAATTTGTCACGTGTATATATGACCCACTGTGTTGGACTGAGAAGGGGAGGGGTGTGAAGTCATCCGCATTCACCTTGGCGTGAACACGAGGCTAGCGTTGTCCACTCCACCGCTACTCAAATTAACAGTGCCGTGTTAGTCCCATCCCTCGACTACTTGTGGCGAAAAAAAAATGAGGCTATACTTTGCCTCATGGTGAAAATTATTTTTGCTATTTTATTTCATTTTTATTTTCTTCTTTTGTTATTTTATTTAGTTTATTATTTATTTTATTTCTTTGCCACCATTTCTCATTATTTTAGTCTTCTATTTTTTGAGGGCCAGAAGGGTCACGAGGGCCCTGACAGTTATTTCAAACAGGTCTCATGCCGCGAAACTGTGAAAATCCGTTGGAAAAATTATTTTTCCGACAATTTTTTTTTCAACATCGAAAACTTTTTGATTTCGACTTGAACGCATCCCGTGGGTTTTGGTACATACCTAAAAACATCCCGGGTATGTGTGTAGGCGAGTCACGTCTCGTTAGTGGCACGTTTTCGATATTTTCACGGTAGACGATATCGTGGGACGGGCGCGTGACCATCCGGCTACCGTTTTTAAATTTTTGTTTTCTTCTCGTTTTTATTTTTTTTTGTTCGGTGATGAAAAAAAAAGAATGAAAATTCCCAACGCGTTTTACACTCTACTAGCAACAGAATCGGGAACAAACGAACGTCCGTTGAATCGGCAGTCGTCCAATCAACATTAAAAACACCAAACATGAAAGCATACAGGTATACCATTTTTTTTTCATCTTCGCGCTAAATTTTTTTGCACTTTTTTATGGCAATGTGAGTGTCAATCTCGGCGGATTCCCGGGTGGCGGATTGCGAAGAGACACTGGATTTTTTTACAGTGATTTTGATGATGAAAATAACTGGAAAAACTCGTTTCGGAAGAAATTCGACTTTTATGGCGTGAAAAAAAATTGTGAAGGGAAAAACTCCTCACAAGTGGAGATTTTTTGCAAAATCTGCTGGGTTCGCCAAGGAAGGTCGAGATTTTCCAACAAAAATTCTCAAACTGTCCCAAAAAATTGTTTCAAAGTGAGTTTTCCATTTTCAAAAATATTTCAACAATAAAAATTAATTCAGGGTAAGATTCCAGTTTCATTTCAAAAAGAATCACGTGAAGTAAACATTTCCTCAAAAAATCTGTCAATTTTCCCGGAGAAATTCAACATTTTCTATAAACAGTTGTCGAATTTTCTAAAAATAATTTTCCCCATTTTTTTAAAATACTTCAAGAGTGAAACTAAATTCGTAGAAAAATTCAGTTAATCTGAGAAATTATTTCTTCGAAGTGAAAAATAATTGAAAATTTCGTTCGAGATTGAAAAATTTTCGAATTCCCTAAAAAAATTTGCTTCTATTAAAAAAAAAACGTCAGCAGTGAAAATTAATTCGAGATAAAATTCCGTTATCGTTCCCTCTCTGTGAAAAAAAAATAATAAACTTTACGAGGATCTGATGGTAGCATAAAGCGAGAGGCCCCATAAAAGACGTAAATATCGTGGGAAATAGTGTCGAGAACATTTTTGACGGGGGTGAAAATGGCTACACCAAACCCTCTCCTGAGTTTATCTGACACACTGGCAAGGCCATTCCATTGCGTCAGTAACAATTCCATCGATTGTGCATGTGTCCTATGGTGGCTACTGGGTATGTTCCAGGGGCAGTTCACAACCCCCGGAGATAACGAAACGCTGGATCAACTCACCCTGGATGCACCCATCGTGTCCTATCGGGTTTTAATAGTGATCCGGAGTCCTCCCTCTCGCTCATCCCAACACACGTATCCCAAATGTATTCGATATCTCGTTCGGCCCTCAAATTCACGCTTTCTGGTGATACCAGCGCAAACTTATCGAGGAAAATGGTCTTTTCGACCCATTTTGCCCCTTTAAAATGTTCCGAATGGGGAATTTTGGCGTTAAAGGGTCGAGTGGTTGGAATTTATGATGAGACCTGGATTAATAGAATGATGAAAATGGGTTCATTAGAGAGCCAGAGAAATTACCTATTTCACCCCCTACTTATGAATCCTTTTGTCCCTATACTTCGCCCAGAAAATCGAGAAAACGTGTTCTAACCTCAAAAGCGGTCGTAACCCCAAAACTTTCCCATAACTCGGGGATTCCCCGAGCAAAAGACCTTTATAACCAGTGTTTTACATCGGAAATTTGGCTGGCAGTGTCATCCCACCCCCAGAAATCATCACCCCTCAGTCATTCCCAAGATATCTCCGTGATGAAATATGAAAATAGCCATTAACGACTGAATTCATTACCGGAAGAAAAATTTTCCTTTATCAGTACCATTCGATTCCATTGACGTGACTAGACGCATACACGATCATTAGAATAATCCTCCGCTCCCACATAATGAAGAAACTACTTGTGAAGCTACCACCCTTTCACGAGAATGGTTACTCCTGCATCCGTAATTTTGGCGTATTTTATCTGACCACTTTCAATGTCACCTTCGAGTTGAAATGGAAATATTTGAGTGAAATGATGATTGTCCCCGGAATTTTGGAATTCACGACGAGACGAGGATTAATGGAATGATGAAAATGGTTTCATTAGAGAGCCAGGAAAATTCCCAATTCCACCCCTACTTGTGAACCCCTTTGCCCCTATATTTCGCTCCTAAAATCGAGAAAACGTATTCTAACCTCAAAAGCGGTCGTAACCCCAAAACTTTCCAATAACTCGGGGATTCCCCGAGCAAAAGACCTTTATAACCAGTGTTTTACATCGGAAATTTGGCTGGCAGTGTCATCCCACCCCCAGAAATCATCACCCCTTAGTCATTCCCAAGATATCTCCTGATAAAATATGAAAATAGCCATTAACAACTGAATTCATTACCGGAAGAAAAACTTTCCTTCATCACTGCCACTCGATTCCACTGACGTGATTCCATGCATACACCATCTTCACAACCCCTTCCCCTCCTCCCCGCCGCCGAAGAAATACTAATTGAATATGCAAACAGACTAGTCATTACGCAATCCAAAATAGAATAGATATGCAGTGCAAAAGTTGCCAGCAAGAAACAACCGAATCCCGAAAATATATAGCATCCAACCTCTCGCATGTATATACCCAATAGTCAAGGCAATACTCTCTAGGTACTGTCGAGTTAAGTAACTGCTTGGTACTTACCCAGTAAGTTTCGAGCGCAATGAGACTGTCTGGCATAAATACCCGTGGAAAATGTTTCTTAATGCAGAAACGAGGGAGAGCAAGTACAGCAGTTTCAAACCGCAGGTGAATTTGAAAATTATTCCATGATTATCCCTGTTTTGTAACTCAAATTAAATTCTCAAATGGAAATAAATTCACGCAACTCCCGGGGAATTTTTCATTTGCTCGAGAATTTTCAGGAAAATAATTCATGGACATTGATTAATCGAGGAATAACAAGAATTCATTGAAAAATACATCAAACAAAATATCACATTAGCAAAAATGTCTAATTACCGTTGATTTTGGTGCAACTGAAATTTTGGTGGAACAATGATGTAACGAACATTTACATGAACACGGAGAGAAATATTCAGTAAAAGTTACAGAATAATTCACGTAATCCGCAATGGGGAATCGGTATCCGGTAATTTTTATAGGAATGGAAGAGAAAAAATCTGAAACGTTCAGTGAATTTTCAGGTTCATCACCGAACAAAGTACGAAATTGTCACGTAATTTTTCCCGAAGAAGTAAAATCTTACAGAAACTTGCCGACTTCTTATGCCTCTAAAATCAAAAATTCTTGAACGTTCAACAATTTTTATGAAGCTGTGA